GTATCAATCTTGTATATAATAAAGTACAAAATACTACTACAAGTACAACCTCTGTCACATAGCAAGATTATACTAGCAATTTATTCATTTAAAGCTACAATAATAACAAACTAGCTTAATGCTATGTTATCCAAACCAAATAAGGCACAACCCGAGCCTATATAGATTTGATAAAATTAAGGCTCAACCATATGACAGCAATGTAGTCAGCATGAGAAATTTACAAGTAATTTCTTCAATCTTCTCAACCTACTTGAAGGTGATTTTTGTAGAATTTTAGTGCTTGATAAACACAATGCTTTGAAAATTGAGTCCCCCCTTAGACTATTCAATCAAGTGATTGGTTTGACCCAGTATCAAGGTTAAAAACTAAGAATGGTTCAATAACTTTTTCTAATTTAAGAACTTTGGGTAATATTTTCCTTGTAACTTTGTAACAACCAAAATCCCTCTAATTTGTGTCACACAAAAAAAAAAAAAAAAAAAAAAAAAAAAAAAAAAAAAATTCCCTCTAATTTGATCATTCTGCTAGTCTGAATGATGTGATGGCCTGGATGTTATTTTCTTGTACCATCTTCATATTAGCACTTATACTCCTACAATCATCACCTATTGCTGCCCAAAATAATGCCAACTTAACAGTTGGCCAATCTATCATAGCCACCAGCAATGGTACTTCATTGCTTTCCCCTTCAGGCGATTTTGCCTTCGGCTTTCATCAAATTCCTAATAACAGTGATCTCTTCCTGCTCGCAATCTGGTACGCTAAGATCCCTGATACCATAATTTGGTATGGAAATAAAGGTAACCTCGTTACCTCGGGATCATCAGTAAAATTAACTGCTAATGAGGGTCTAGTTCTTAGTGACCCTCATGGAGCTCCTCTATGGAATACCACTGATGAATTAAGTGGTCGAGCTGTTAATCATGGTTTTCTGAATGACACAGGGAATTTTGTGCTGAAAAATAGCAGCACTACTGATGCAGTTTGGCAGAGCTTTGAGCATCCTACAGATACGTTGCTGCCTACTCAGTCAATGGAGATAAATGGGGTGGTTAACTCTAGGCTATCTGATACTAATTTTACACAGGGGAGGTTCCAGTTACGATTAATTGCTGATGGAAACCTCGTTCTCAATACTAGAGATCTGACAACCAACTATGCCTATGGTGCTTACTATACTAGTGGCACTAATGACCAAGCAAATGCCAATAATTCAGGCCAGAGATTGATCTATAACGAGTCAGGGTATATGTATATATTAAAAAAGGATGGCTCAAGGTACAATCTCTTACCACCAGGTAAGACGCTTGCACCAAATGATTATTATCAGAGGGCGACTTTAGGCTTTGATGGGGTTTTAACATGGTATTCTGTCTCAAAAACTCCCATTAGCAATGATTGGAACATGGTGCAGACGACACCAGACAACATATGTATGACGACAGGATCACCTGAACCACAGTTAGGCAGCGGAATTTGTGGGTTTAACAGCATTTGCAGCCTCGGAAATAACAATAGGCCAACATGTAATTGCCCACGGGGTTATTCTCTACTAGATCCCAATGATACATATGGAAGTTGTGTGCCAAACTTCAAGCAAGGTGTTTGTGAAGCACAAGGCCAGACTGCTCCCAAAGATAAATATGAGCTACATGAGCTTAAAAACACTAATTGGCCATTTGGTGATTATGCACGTCTTCAACCTACCAATAAAGAGGTTTGCAAAAGCTCCTGTCTCACTGATTGTTTCTGTGTTGCTGCCATTTTCAACGAATATGACTCCAGTTGCTGGAAGAAGAGGCTGCCACTTTCCAATGGAAGGGAAGACTCAAAGGTAACAAAGATAACTTTTCTGGTATGGAATGGTAATAATTCTGACAATGCTATAGAGATTAATAAGAAGAATCGTGTAGTCATAGCCATGTTGGGTACATCGGTAGGTGTTAATTTCCTTCTGTTAAGTGCAACTATTTTGGGAGCTTTCATCATGTATAGAAAAAGTCATTCTACATGCCTTAAAGAGCATCAGAGTAAAAATTTCAGTGAGTATAGCAGTGTCCGCTGCTTCAGATACAGGGAGCTTGAAGATGCAACTGATGGGTTCAAGGAAGAGATCGGAAGAGGGGCTTTTGGTATTGTGTACAAGGGAAAAATTGGACACAAAGTTTCTCCTATTTTTGTTGCTGTGAAAAAGTTAGATCGGATATCTAAGGATGCTGATAAGGAATTTGAAACTGAAGTGAATGTGATAGGCCAGACTCATCATAAGAATTTGGTTCGATTTATAGGTTTTTGCAAGGAAGAAGATCAGCGGTTACTGGTATATGAATATATGAGCAATGGTACTGTAGCAGATTATCTTTTCGGTGATTTAAGGCCAAACTAGACTGCAAGGATTCAAATTGCTCAAGATATTGCAAGGGGGCTCTTGTATTTGCATGAAGAGTGCAGCAGACAGATCATTCATTGTGATATAAAGCCTCAAAATATCCTACTAGATGATTATAAGCAAGCCCGTATATCTGATTTTGGTTTGGCAAAGCTTTTGGTTCTGAACCAAACCCATACAAACACAGGAATTAGAGGGACCAAGGGCTATGTTGCTCCCGAATGGTTTAGAAACAAGCCACTCACAGCAAAGGTAGATGTCTATAGCTTTGGGGTTCTCTTGTTGGAGATCATATGTTGTCGAAAAAGTGTATGCATGGAACTCCTTGAAAATGAAGCAGCCATTTTGACAGATTGGGCATTTGACTGCTATCAGTCTAACAGATTGGATTCACTTGTTAATGATGACATGGAAGCTCTAACAGACATAACTCAATTAAGGAGATTTGTAACGGTAGCCCTTTGGTGTATCCAAGAAGACCCAAGCCTACGACAAACAATGCAAACAGTCACACGGATGCTAGATGGCCTTGCTGAAGTGCCTAATAACCCTCCTTATCCAACCTCATTTTCAGTTACCACCCAAAGTTAAGCTTGTTGAATTAAAGAAATGTAGCTTAGTATTTTCATATTGTATTTCATAATCTCGCAGTGTATTCAGCTACCGACTTCGAGCACAAATAATCTATCTATGAATTTATTTATTTTGTCAATAATATTATGTCCACGGGCATGTATTATTTGGCAATTCCAGTAGGATGATTTGTGAGCACAATTGCACATATCCTCAAAAAAACTTAAATCAAACAAGCTAAGCTTAAATATCTTTGACAAAAATCATTAGGAATGAGTAAACTAAATTAGGCATATTAGCATTTAGCAAGTTAGGATCGAATTTCCACAATAACTTGTAAACTCGTAAGATTGTCACATATCGCATGTACTTATAGACAAGTTGTCTTATAAAATTAATGAAAATTCCAATTCTTTGCTCCAAAAAGTAAAATAAAAAAATAATAATTTAAGGAGATTTCTAATGCTATTGACTTCAGATATTAAAGTGTCTTTTAACTGGTCATTCAAGCAACAGCAATTAATTTAGGGAAATTTTAGTGGCACTCTTGTTTCACTAATTTGACTTCATCGGCCTAATTATCATTAAATGGGCTAACCAACTTCAAAATGGCTCATTTTTTTACTACATTACGCAAAAAGACTAACCTACCCCTGAATTAATTGATTCCCTCCTCTTTTCATTAATGGCCACTGCAATTGTACTGTTTGCTCGACATTGATCAAGGAAAAAATCCCAAACTCTTTCCTCTTCCTTCAACCTCCACCAAATCATACACTGAAACAAATTGATTAAAAATTTGTAAGGATCAAACACATTTGCATGACGATTTTTTGGCGAAATTGTTGAGCAATTGTTAACGATTAACGGCTTGGAATAGTTCGATTTTTGGTGAATGAAAAGAGACGAAATTTAGGGTTTATTGTTGAAATTCTGACGGAATTCGCACAATCGTGGACCTTCCAGCGGTTGCTGAAGTGGTATACAGACCTTAAGCAAGGTATGTCTTTTAACCCTAAGTTTGTTCATGTTGTTCTTATACTTGCAGAAGTTACATGCTCTGTTTTTGTTTGTCTGAGTACATGTTGAACAAAGATGAAATCTGTATGCTTGCTAGTACGTGTTTGATGTTAAAATATATGCGTGTGGTTGTTATGTTGCAGAATGGATCAGTCTATGCTAAAGTTTGCCTATATGGGTAATGTAATTGAAGTATTTTTGTTAAAGATATTGACAAGGTCATGTGGATAGATTTGATCAATAAGTGTTAGGAAGGGTTTAGGAAAAAGAATTATGACTTCCCTAAATTCCCTAGCTTTCACTACTGCTATAACATGAAAGATGTTAAGGTTACTTCTGATAGTGATTGAATGTCAATGCTGAATAGATTAAGGGATAGGGAAGAGATTACTATTTGGATTGGTTGTGTTGACAAACCTATTGATTGTGTAATTGCTGCTAGAAAGCTTGCTAAATCACTTATAAAAAATCCTAGCCCACCTAAGAAAAATGCTCCAGTTGATGAACAAGGTGGGAATGAAGAGTGTCCTGATGGTGAGGAGTATTGGAATGATATTAGGATAGAGATGGAATTAGAGCACAATGCAGCAGTTGATAATATAGAGGAGTATGAAGATGAGAGTCAACAAAGAGGAAAAAAAAGAGTGCACCTAAAACTGTGAAACCTAAAAAACTACCTCTCAAGAGAAAGCTTCGACTAGCCAGTGATAAAGAAACCATGGCCCCACAACAAACTTTCTCAAATGCGCCTGTATTTCATCAAAAATCAGATTCTCAGGCAATACCCTCAATGTTGAAATGTAACTCTCTTGCCCTTCACAAAAATACCAAGGAGTACAGCTGCTAGGAAGAAGAATGTTCAGACCAATAAAACTATGGTTGAAGCCATGGTTGTGAGTGAGAGTGAGTTCAATGAAGCAGTTAGGGATAGGCAGGTTAAGGATGCTCAGACTGGGGAACATATGAGATTGGTGAAAGTAGTAGAGCTAAAGCTGCTCAGGCTGTGCTGGAAGAATGGATGAGGGTGCTAATAAGGAAGATGAAATGGATGAGGGTGCTAATAAGGAAGATGATATTGATGATGAATATGAAGAGGATGAAGAAATTGGCAATATTACTGACACATATGACCCATACATATCATATTGCTGGAATCTTGTCTGTATGCAGATGACACTTATTTTAGTAGGATGTATAAAAATGGTGAATTTGTGTCTGATGTTGAGTTTGGAAGTATAGTGTTGAAGCCCTAAATGATCTTTAGTGATAAAGAGCATTTCATGTCTGTCTTCAGAGATTATTGTATACAATGTGGTTTTGCAGTAGTGGTTGATAGGAGCAGTCCATGGAGGTTCACTGCTTCCTGTCTTGCTTTAAATTGTGGTTGGAGAATTCATTCAAGTAGGCTACCAGATGGAGTTTCTTGGGCTATAAAGAGTTTAATGAACTCTGAGCACACTTGTGGAGGGCTAGATGAAAGGAATCCCCTAGTGACTGTTAAATGGGCTGCAGAAAAACTAATGGAAGATATAAGGGCTAATAATGACATCTCTGAAAAGACACTGAATGATCTCTTATTCAGTAGATATGGAGTGCACATGGAAACCAGTACCCTTTACAAGATGAGAGCAGTAGCATTGAAGGAGATAAATGGTGGGCATGATACTTCCTATGGACATTTGCCAAAGTATTGTGAGATGGTTAAAGAAACCAACCCAGGATCTGCAGCTAACTATGCATGGAAGAAACTTAATCCACCTGATCCATCACTCACTTTCTCAAGTATATTCATTTCATTCAAGGCTGACATTGATGGTGTTGTTGCAGGATGTAGGAGTTTAGTGGGGGTTGATGGAGCTCACTTGAAAGGACATTTTGGTGGGGTCCTTCTGTCTGCTGTGGCTAAAGATGGAAACAATGAATTGTTTCCTTTTGCATGGGCTATAGTTCCCAAGGAAGATGGTGACAATTGGAAGTATTTTTTCTGGCACTTGAAGCATATTCTATCAGGTTCTAGGAGGGGTAATGGCTGGTGTATTATTTCAGACAGACAAAAAGTAAGTTAGCTCTTTCACTCACACTTTAATTTCTGAAATCACTAGTAACAACTAAACTCACTTTTCTGTATTTGTGTGCAGGGAATAGATGTGGCACTAACTGAGATATGGTCTGAAGTGGACAGGAGATATTGTTGTAAACACTTAGCCAAGAATTGGACACTACAAGAAAACAGCTGAATTCCGAAGGACTTTTTCCGTCGGAAACAGGGGAAAATCCGTCGGAAAACGGCCTTCCGATGGAATTCCGTCGGAAACTGTCTCTCAGAACAGCCTTTGTAGGAAATTCGACGTTTTAATTTCCGAGGGAAATTCCGTCGGAAGCCACTTTTCCGACGGAATTTTCGACGGAATACATTCTGTCGAAACTGGTTTTGACTTTAACCGAAATTCCGTCGGAAGAGGAATATTTCGACGGAAATTTCCGACGGAAATTTCAATAAAATAAATAAAAAAGAAAAACGCCACCTTCCCACCAGCCCCTCTACCACCTTAACCCACCTCACCAGACCCACCCACCTACCACCTCACCTGACCCACCCACCTCCCCACCTCACCAGAACCACCTCCCCACCTACCACCTTAACCCACAACCAACCCAACCACCTGCCCCCATCGCCCAGCCCACCTACGCACCTCACCGAAACCCACAACCCCACCTACCACCTTAACCTACTGCCCCATCGCCCAGCCCACCTCCCCACCTCACCGAAACCCACAACCCCACCTACCACCTTAACCCATTGCCCCCATCGCCCAGCCCCTCCACCACCTCCCCACACCGAAACCCACCTCACCGAAACCACCCAAAAGAACACCGAAACCCACCTCACCACCCGAAACAACCACCGAAAACACCAAAAAAAAAAAACATAAAAAAAATCCATACTTCACCAACACCATATATTTCAAAAAAAATCAAAAAATTCAACAAATTAATTAAAATCAAAATTTAGAAGAAAAAAAAGAGAAACATACCTTAATTTGACCCAAAAATGCGTCGAAATTGGGTTTATAAGGTCAAATTCGACCATGAAAACTCTAGATCTAGAGTTTTCATGGTCGAATTTAACATGAAAACCTTGATTTTCATGAGTTGCCATTGAATATCTTGAAATAATCTTGAGTTGCCAAAGAAAACGAAACGAAAAAAAAAAGAAAGAGGGGAAGAGGAAAGAGAAACAGGGAAGAGGAGAGGAAGGAGAAAGAAGGGAAGAGGAAAGGTTGCGTGCGCCGAGCTGAGGAAGGAGAAGGGAGGAAGGAAGGAGAAAGAGGGGAAGAGGAAAGAAGAGAGGAGAGAGAAAGAGAAGGGAGGCGGGGAGAGAGAAAGGAGTGTAAGGGTTTTTAGGGTTTTTTTAGGTTTTAAAGAGGTTTTTTTATTATTTAATTATTTCCGACGGAATATTCCGTCAGAAACTTAATTTTCCGTCGGAACTTTCCGACGGATTTAAATTCTGTCGGAAATTTAATGTTTCGACGGAATATTCCGTCGGAAACTTCCGACGGATTTTATTTCCGTCAGGATATAAATTTTCCGACAGATATTCTGTCGGAATGCCCATATATTCCGACGGATTTTTATTCCGTAGGAATTCCATCGGAAATTTCCGACGAAATATAAATCCGCCGGAATATATAGGATTTCCGACGGAATTTTGTGTCCGTCGGAATTTACCCTTTTTCTTGTAGTGGGAAAGGATCATTTTCTGGCCCTTTGATGCATTCACTCTTCTAGTTGGCCTGTAGTGCAACATCTCCTTTCACCTTTAAAAAGGCTATGGACATGATTAATGCTGTGAATCCAATGGCTTGTGAATGGTTGGTTGATTTGGGGAACCAGTCAAGGTGGGCAAGGCACAAATTTGCTCCCCAAATTTGCAGTGATGAAAACAAGACCAACTTTGTAGAGAGTTTCAATGCAACTTTGGGTGTGGACAGATGCAGGCCAGTCTTAACACTTTTGGAAGGTATAAGTTTGCTTTTTTCTAACATCTTTAATGGTATTTGACATCATTTCATTTTGATGCTAACATATCCTGACATGAATACATAGGTATAAGAAGAATGTGCATGGTGAGACTATCATCAAGAAGACAAAAGTGCAACAACTGGAATGAGGATGAACCATGTCCTAATATAGTAAAGAGAATAAAGAGGTTGACCTTTGAATCAAGAATATGCAAAGCTTATCAGTCAAAGGAGGGTGAATATGAAGTGAAGGATGGGAGGTTTATGCTTCCTGTGTCACTAAACAAAAAGACATGTCTCTGTGGGGCATGGCAAATTTCAGGTTTGCCTTGCAAACATGCAATTAGAGCAATCTTGGCTGCTGGATTGAACCCATACAATTTTTGCAGCACATGGTTCTCAGTCTAAACTTATAAGTAAGCTTATGCCAACTCAATACACTCTGTACCAAATTTTGAGCACTGGCAGAGATTGATATGCCTATAATACTACCACCACAGATGAAAAGAGGCATTGGTAGACCATCTAGACAAAGAAGGAGGGCACCTGATGAACCAGACAAAGGAAAAAGGTCTACAACAGTCCAATGTTAGAGATGTATGTGTTATGGACACAACAAACAGACATGTAAGGGTGGACTCACAGCAACAGAGCAAAGTGCTAGGGATGGACAGAGAATTGCAAAGAAAACTTCTGAGTCCACTACACACAATGCACCAAAGAGTACCTCCACATCAAACCCACCAAACCCACCTAGAAGATTCACAAGAAGCTCATTGCAGTGTGTTTCTCAACCACAGCCCTCCATTAACACAACTCAACATTCATATCAAGCATTTGAAGGTCCAAGCACTCAACCTGTTACTAGGTCAAAGAAGTATGGGAAAGGAAGAACAAAGTCTAATATGTCCTGTAGCTTGCTGAACTAAGACCAAGTTGGGGGTTTTTTTTTTTTTTTTTTTTGTAAATGACAGTGCAATTGCTTGGCTTTGTTTTGGTTTTTGAACTAAAGGCTTATATATGATCTGTACTTTGACTTGATCATATGTCTTGTTTTGATTAATTGCCACAGGCTTTTAATTTCATGTTAATGCAATCTCATTTAAATCTTGAGTGCTTTATGGAATGTTGGAATAATTTGAACTCTGTGCAACTTTTTAATCTGTTACACTAAATTAGGGAGTACACGTAAATATAATAGAAAGCAAGTACCATAACTGAGTTTTTATTTATACTTGGTTGAATTACATAACTGCATTCAATTCATAAAACCCATACAAATTGCATCACTACCCTGATCACATAACTTAATTAGGATTGAACTACTTGATACTCCCCTTTCCTTCATTACCCTGTTTACATCATTTAAGGTAAAAAAAGACACAAATTACTAATATGATAATAGCAATCTTCATAAGACTCTTGCAGCAAACAAAAAGGTCTTCCACCATGTTATGTATTGCGGCAATCTCAGAATTTGGTGAAGCATCGTAAAAACTCACATCATCTTCAGTCACCCAAAATCCGCAACCTCTGACTTGCATTTGTAGTATGGCTTCTTTGGATTGCTCATGGAATCTGAAAACCTAACCTTAGCGTTTTTGGGAGGGTTGCAATTGCAGGGCTTCATCCTTACCCAATTATAACTTCCATCAATTGCGCCCCTCTTCCTTGGAGAAACTCCACGAAAATTCATGGTGAGAACCTTTTTGAAGAAACTCCACGATTGAGCGAATTCCGTGGAGGTTAGGTTTTGCGATTTGGTGGAGGTTGAAGGAAGAGGAAACAGTACAATTGCAGTGGCCATTAATAAAAAGAGGAGGGAATCAATTAATTCAGGGATAGGTTAGTCTTTTTGAGCAATGCAGTTAAAAAATGAGCCATTTTGAAGTTGGTTAGCCCGTTTAATGATAATTAGGCCACTGAAATCAAATTAGTGAAACCAGAGTGCCACTAAAGAGAGCTGAAAAAAACTTTGTCTTCCACGTAGAAAACGGAAAACCATGAGGTTACCATGTAGAATTTCCCGTACACCTATAAGTCCATAGCAATTAAAAGGAAATACGACAGGCAAATGATGCATGGATCTTCACTTACTATGTTTTCCTAAGTTCATAACCTATATTTTTGGATCATAGCTGTGATCAAAACACTTAGTAAACCATGAAGAAATGTAATTATGTTAAGACTTACAAACCACAGAATTTGACAACGAAAATGTACTGGCATGAGGTTCTTCGTTCTGAGGAATTACCGAGGTATTCAAACTGATCTTTGCTTCATATGGAAAATAATACATCCTGATCGTCTCATCATTAACATTATCTGAACCAAAGGAAATTATCAAGGTCAGTATGCACACACATCATATGTCACATACTGAAAAACTAATGATATTGTATTAATATTATTGACAACTCCCTCTGTTCTACAATTTTCTTCCTGCTTAATGTAGAAGTACACACAAATAAAAAAGAATGCAAGGAGTCATTAGTCAAGAGCCATGACACAAGTTGCATTTTTCTTATTTTCATTATGCTGTTTGGTCTTAGCAGCCGCGCCACAAGTTGTATATTCTTTAATTTTCTGTACGCCATAGCGGGTTGGTGGTGGTAAAACAAGATCCCTGATGCTACTATAGTTTTATATGAACTTTCCTGTCAACTTCTGATTCAATAGACCAGGAGATAAAATAAGGTACTAGAAAACATATGTTTTCAATTTTATAATAAACAAGTTGAGTAAAAGAAACAAATGCATGCTCATTCTCGGTTACTTCTACTAAATTTAACAAGGGTAGGGTATCCAAAGTTTTATATCAACTCGTGTTCAAACTAACGATGATTCAAACAATTTTTAAAGTTAGTCATAAACAGATTTTTATCAGTACATTAACTTAATTAGAACCAATTGATCACTACTTTAAATGCTAGTATTCCAACTCCTATAGTCCCATCCCTTTTGTAAGAAAATTTGCAATGGCGTGGCCTCTTTCTTGTACCCTCTCCCTATTAACACTAATAATCCTTCAATCAACACCCTCGCCTGTTGCAGCTCAAAATAGTGGCAATATCTCAGTTGGCCAATCTCTCACAGCCAAAATCAATGGCACTTCATGGCTTTCACCTTCAAAACATTTTGCCTTCGGTTTTCATCGACTTCCTAACAGAGGCGATCTCTTCCTGCTTGCCATCTGGTACGCCAATATTCCAGACACCATTGTTTGGCATGCAAATGATGGTAATCCGGTTCCCCGAGGTTCATCAGTAAAGATAACTGCAAATGAAGGCTTAGTTCTCACTGACCCTCAAGGAACCAACTTATGGAACACCTCTAGTGAGTTAATAGGTGATGGTGGTTGGGTGAGCTATGGTTTCATGAATGATACAGGGAATTTTGCACTCAAAAGAAGCAGCAATAGCATTCCGGTTTGGCAGAGCTTTGATCATCCTACAGACACCTTGCTGCCTGGTCAGTCTTTGGAAGTTGATGGGAGCATTAATTCTCGACTATCAGAAACTAATTATACGACGGGAAGGTTCCAATACCATCTGACTGAGGATGGAATCATGGCTCTCAATACCAGGGACCTAAGTACCGGCTACCTCTATAGTGCTTATTATATTAGTGACCCAGGAAATCCAGGTCAGACTCAAAGATATGTGTACAATGAGTCCGGGTATATGTACATATTAAGGAAAGATGGGTCGGTGCATAATATGTTACCGGATGGTTACACACCATCACAAGATCAATATCAGAGATTAATCTTGAGCTCTGATGGGATTTTAATATGGTATTCTGCCTCAAAAGCTTCAATTAGTGACGGATGGTTCAGATTTCAAGTACTACCTGAAAACATGTGTATAGGATCATCACCAGCAAATTTGGGTGTTGGAATTTGTGGGTCTAACAACCTTTGCATCCTAGGTGATAATAAAAGGCCAATGTGTGAACGCGCACAGGGCTACTCGCTCATCGATCCAAATGTTCAATATGGTGGTTGTAAACCTGATTTCAAGCTTCAGAATTGCGAAGATTATGCAGACAGGTCTATGAATGGCGAGTATAGCTTAGTACAACTTCAAAATACTGATTTTGTTAACAATGATTATGAAAGGGTTGATTCTAGAAGCGAGGCAGATTGCAAGGATTCTTGTTTGAAAGACTGTTTCTGTGCTGCTGCTTCTTTCAGTCTATATGGCAGTAATTCTGGTGGTTGGAAGAAGGCACCACTTTTCAATGGAAAAAAAGACAGTTCAGTCAACTACAATTTTTTTTGGATAAAGGTAAGGAGTGTTAACATGTCCAATGACCCACTCAACCCTTTTGTTACCGTGACGCCAAATGGAAAAATGACAACTCCGATCAAAGTTCTGTTTGGTAGCTCTGTTTCTGTTAACTTACTTCTTTTAGTTGCAATCGGTTTTGGATTATACTTCATTTATCATAAGAAGAAACTGAAAAAGTCAAATGAGGGCCAGAGGAAAACACTGAGAGAGTATAGTCACGTCCATTATTTCAGCTACCAAGAGCTAAATGAGGCAACTTATGGATTTAAGGAAGAGCTGGGAAGAGGGGCTTTTGGTGTAGTTTACAAGGGCATGGTCAGCGGAGGGGGTCCATCAATTTATGTTGCTGTTAAGAAGTTAGATCGAATATCATCCGACACTGATAAAGAGTTCAAAACAGAAGTTAACGTTATTGGTCAGACACATCACAAGAATCTGGTACAGCTTGTAGGATTTTGCAAGGAAGGGGATCAGCGGCTGTTAGTATATGAATATATGAGCAATGGTAGCTTAGCTGATTATCTATTTGGTGATATGCGGCCAAGCTGGGTAGATAGAGTTCAAATTGCTCAGGGGACAGCCACGGGGCTATTGTACTTGCATGAAGAATGCAGCACACAAATAATTCATTGTGACATAAAGCCCCAGAATATACTTTTAGATGAATATCACAATGCCCGTATTTCTGATTTTGGGTTGGCTAAGCTTTTAGTTCTAAACCAAACCCATACAAACACGGCGATTAGAGGGACCAAAGGCTACGTTGCTCCAGAATGGTTCCGGAACAAGCCAGTCACAGTGAAGGTAGATGTCTATAGTTTTGGGGTTCTTTTATTGGAGATCATATGTTGTCGAAAGAGTGTATGTATGGAACTAGTTGAAGAGGAAGCAGCAGTTTTGACAGATTGGGCGTTTGATTGCTACCTATCAAATAAATTAGATGTACTTGTCAATGATGACATGGAGGCACTTAAGGACATGATTCGGTTAAAGAGGTTTGTAATGGTTGCCCTTTGGTGTATCCAAGAAGACCCAAGTCTACGACCAACAATGCGAACAGTCACGCAGATGCTAGACGGCCTTGCTGAAGTGCCTAATAACCCTCCTTGTCCAACCTCATTTTCTGTTACTACCCAAAATTAAACATCCTCATATATAGTATGTATTTATTCTGGTTACATTTATTTTAGTATCTTTAGTTTTGTTATATAAACGTTATCAACCAATGGTGTGACTGAATAATGTCCAAAAACATCCTTTCTTTTTTTTTTTTTAAGGAAATCTACTTGTTTCATATAGCATAATAGAATCGATTCTGGGTTATAAAGCTCAAAACTAAGGTCACTAAAACAACCCATTTATTAAATGATAACATTAACGTGATTTGTGTTTTAAAATGTTTCATAAAAGCTCAACATTAATCCAACTATTTCGTTTGTCAACTTTTGCTATTTTTAAGTATAACCTGAGAAAAAGGCTAGCAACAACCATGCCTTTTATAACAGTTCTACTGTTCTAGGCTTTAGTATTTTCTTGACCTCTATTTTTTTTCCCTTAAAATACCCTACTCATCAAGAAGAAAAGTCCGGCTATTTATTCATTGCACATTAGAAGATTAAAAGTTATAAATACTCAGAAGATGAGTTAATATTTTTACCAAAATGAATGATCTTATTCAACATAAAGTTCCTTCGCCCAAGGAGTTGTACGCATATAGGTGATTTCCTCCTCAACCAAAAGTCCTGGTCAAGAAGATTAGGCTGGTGGCAGCCCATCGTTGACTCGACTTCGTCACCATCTGAACCACAATAAATAAATAAATAAACAATAGAAGAAGATAACTAGATAAGCTATTAAGCAGACTCATTAAAGACAAATTTAGCATATTTGAAAAAGCATCGTGGTCCACAAGCAAGAAAAATGTTAAGGTAACGAAAGTCATCTAGTAATACTAAAAATTTTGAAATTTTTACTCACTCCATCCAAAAATAACCGTCATGGAACACTATTGTAGGATGTTAGGACAATGGTGTCACATTTTCTAAAATAGGCCATAACAGTGTGTAATTAGCTTTCCTTACACTTGTAATACTGACTGGCTGAGTAAATGCATGAGGTTCTTCTGAGGAAATATTGGTACAGATTTCTGCTTCACAAGGAACATAATACATGCTGGTTGTTTCCGCATTGGCATTATTTGAACGGCTGAATACATACAGACACATTGAAAAACTCTAAGAGTACGTATTATTATAACTCCCTCCGTTCTACAATTTTCTACCCAAATCCATGCATACTATAGATCTACATACCAATGAAGTTGAATGTAATTGCAACTACTCAAGTAGGAAGAACTTTGTGGAACAAAAGGAGTCCTTGGGTAAGAGTCAGTAACACAAGTTCTATTTTTCTTAACTTGGTTACGCTGTTTGGTCTTAGCAGCCGTGTCACGACTCACGAGTAGTATTATTTTCTTTACACCTTGATGGGGTTGGTGGTGGTAAACAAGATCCCTGATGACATTATAATTTTATAAGAATTTTCCAGTCAACTACTGATGATATAGACCAGCAAATCAAAGAAGAACTTTGTGGAACAAAAGGAGTCCTTGGGTAAGAGTCAGTATCTGTTAATTTACTACTTTCAATTGCAACCTGCTTCGAAATTTTCTTCATTTATCATCAGAAGCAACAAAAAGCGTCTAATGAGGGCCAGAGGAAAACACTGAGAGAGTATAGTCACGTCCATTATTTCAGCTACCAAGAGCTAAATGAGGCAACTTATGGATTTAAGGAAGAGCTGGGAAGAGGGGCTTTTGGTGTAGTTTACAAGGGCATGATCAGAGGAGGTGGTCCTTCAATTTGTGTTGCTGTTAAGAAGTTAGATCGAGTATCATCCGACACTGCTAAAGAGTTCAAAACAGAAGTTAATGTTATTGGTCAGACACATCACAAGAATCTAGTACAGCTTGTAGGATTTTGCAAGGAAGGGGATCAGCGGTTGTTAGTATATGAATATATGAGCAATGGTAGCTTAGCTGATTATCTATTTGGTGATATGCGGCCAAACTGAATAGATAGAGTTCTAATTGCTCAGGGGACAGCTACGAGGCTATTATACTTGCATGAGTTGTGCAGCACCCAAATCATTCATTTTGATATAAAACCCTAGAATATACTTTTAGATGAATTTCATAATGCTCGTATTTCTGATTTTGGGTTGGCAAAGCTTTTGGTTCTAAATCAAACTCATACAAATACAGCAATCAGAGGGACCAAAGGCTATGTTGCTCCAGAATGGTTCAGGAACAAGCCAGTCACGGTGAAGGTAGATGTCTTTGGGGTTCTTTTATTGGAGATCATATGTTGTCAAAAGAGCGTATGTATGGAGCTAGTTGAAGAGGAAGCAGTAATCTTGACAGATTGGGCATTCGATTGCTACCTATCAAATAAACAAGATCTACTTGTCAATGATGATATGGAGGCACTTAAGGACATTATTCGGTTAAAGAGGTTTGTAATGGTTGCCCTTTGGTGCATCCAAGAAGATCCAAGTCTACGACCAACAATGTGAACAGTCACACAGATGCTAGAAGGTCTTGCTGAAGTGCCTAATAACCCTCCTTGTCCTGCCTCATTTTCAGTTACCACCCAACATTAAAACAGCCCAAAAGGCCCCTGATAATGTATCTTGGTCACTTTTGTTTTATGTAAAATTTAGGAGTAAACCTGATTTCAAGTATTGGTGTGATTATGAATGATTTCCATAGAAATAAATTTGCTTTGTAATTTCGTTAGCAAAATTAGTAAGTGCATTTCCCCAGAAACCTGCTTTAAGCAATATCCTATTGTTTGAAGAAATGTAGGAGATAATGATCTACCTAAAACCCTAAACCATGATTTGCATTTAAGTTTTATTACTATATTTTTGCCATAACTAATGGCCTCGTTATTTCATAACCCGTGCTGTATACAGCAATTGTGATTTTTAAAAAAAAATGCCCTAAGATCATTAAGACTTACTAGTGACTGGTGAGAGAACTTCCAACAACAGCAGACAGGCATGAAGTTTCTCCTGAAAAGGTACCAATACCGAATTGAAGGAGACACAAATTCACATACATGATACAATCCTGGGAATCTCCTCCTTTTTGCAACCTGAACCACAGACATAATTAACACAGAAAGTAAACGCTTAGCATATGTATCAATGTTAAAAAGACTTGAACATTCAAACCAGCTTTATCCAAATGGAGAGGCTTTAAAATTGCGACATAGTTCAAATTAGCTCAAACATATACCCCCTCTTCATTTACAAAATGTAGTTTTACAGTTACAGGAGCATAAACTCGCTGCACAAGTAAGAAAACAAAGGACTCGGTAGAGAAAATTTGCAGGAAGCTAAGTATCCAGAAAATCTTCCTGAAGATCACATATTAGTGTTCCTCTGTTCATGCAAAATAACTGAATTCACAACTTTGCCTTCGTGGAAGCACAACCGCTTTAGACTTTAGCTATAATTTAATCCACACAATGAAACAGCAAAGTAGACGGACAAAGTAGCTAATGATTGGGGAAAATGAGACCTAGAATCCAAGAAGAAACAATAACTACTTGTATAATACTATAGCTTTTGTCCCACAAAACTGAAGTTGGCTACATGAACAAGATGTCAATCCCATGTGTCATCCAAGTGAATTCTTCTCCATTCACCCTTGACATATCAAACAACAAAATTCAACCTAGAATTCTGAACAATATTAACATATCAGTTACACAAGTCCTATCTTATTTTACAGTGTTTTAAGTCAAGATTTTTCTCTTCATGCCTCCCCTTCATCCTAAGATCCTTCTCTCAGAGAAATTGCTAAATAAATCAAAAAGACATTTCAGAAAATGAAATGAACACATATTGCTAGTTGTGGTCACAGAAAAACTTATATTTCTACTAGAACATCTGTCACACTTCAGTTGATCAAGTTTGTTTAGTACTCGACCACAAAGGTGAAAAGAAAATTTGTTAGGCTCACAAAAGAAAATATATGTTCCTTGGTGGGGCAAAAAAGACTCGACTTTTAGTCATGAAAGTTGTTCAGAAAGGGAGGTTTATAGATGTGTGAAAAATGAAAAATCAGCAAATCAACATTAATTTGAGCGATGAGGGCACTTAGAACTTGAAGGTAACGGCAGGGACCACAAAGCATTTTTTCCAGATGATATTTTTCAACTAATTTGGAAGACTCGTTTGACTCTGGAGTTGAATAAAATTCTGGCTTACAGATATACAATCAATGTTCCCCTACTGCTTGTAAAAATCAGCAATGCTCCAAATAGTTTCGCAAATGGTTTGGGCTCTATCTATTCACCTAGCCTTCTTTACACTAATCCTCCTGCAATCATCCATTGTTGCTGACCGAAGTGCCAACAACATATCAGTTGGCACCTCTTTGTCAGCCAACATAAATACCCCTTCATGGCTTTCACCTTCAGGTGATTTTGCCTTTGGTTTTCATCAATTACCCAACACCAAAAATCTGTTTTTGCTTGCTGTTTGGTATGCAAAGATCCCAAACACGGTTGTCTGGCATGCAAATGAAGGTAACCCCGTTCCCCAAGAATCGACAGTAACACTAACTGCTGAAAAGGGATTAGTCCTCAGTGATCCAAGAGGCAGTCAGCTTTGGAGTACCTTGGATGAGTTGTCTGGTTTTGTAGGCTATGGATTTATGAATGATACCGGAAATTTCGCCCTCAAGAGAAGCACAGACAATGAGATAATATGGCAAAGCTTTGCGCATCCTACAGACACCTTGCTGCCAACCCAGGTCATGGACTCAAATTCGGTGGTTAATTCTCGGTTATCAAAAACTAGTTTCACAACAGGGAGGTTTCAAATGCGTTTCCTCGATGATGGGAAGCTCGTGCTTAATACCAGGGACCCAGCTACAAACTACAATTATAGTTATTTCTACTATATCAGTCACGCCACTGACACTGTAAATTCATACAACTCAGGTGAGAAGGTGGTTTATGAGGAATCAGGGCATATGTTTATCCTCCTAAAAAATGGCGCAAAGGTTCATCTCACACCAAATCAGTTAAAACCAGCCAAAAATTATTATCACAGAATGACTCTTGATATTGATGGAGTTCTCACCTGGTATTACCACAGAAGAACTTTTACCGAGGAAAGCAGTGCTGTTTGGTCAACAACAAAATTGATTCCAGACAATATCTGTGATAGTTTTGGCGGTTCAACAGTTGGCAGTGGAGCTTGCGGGTATAACAGCATTTGCTGGATCGGTGAAGATCGCAGACCAAGGTGTGGATGTCCACCAAATTATTCTCCAATAGATCCTCATGACATGTTCAGCAGCTGCAAACCAGATTTCCAGATGGATCAGTGTGAAGAAACGGCAAAGGGTAAATATAAGCTAATTAAGCTACAATATACAGATTGGCCACAGGCTGATTATGCCATACTTAGTCCTTGTAGTGAAAAGTCCTGCCAGAGTTTTTGTTTCGATGATTGCTTTTGCGCTGCTGTAATTTATGAACGAAGCACAAAAATGTGTTGGAAAAAGAAGACACCACTCTTCAATGGGATGAATGGCAGTAGAGTGACTAGAATCGCGTGGCTTAAGGTAGGCAACGGTTATTCTTATACCAACGCACTCAGTGCTGTTGTTTCAGTTCTGTTAGGTGGCTCTATTTCTGTTAATTTCTTTCTATTGAGTACCATGGGTTTGGGATTCTACTATATATACAAGAAGATGCAGCTACAAGAGGTTGATGTCAGAACTAGTAAAATGCTTAAGGAGTACAGCAATGTCCATTGCTTCAGCTACCATGAGCTTGAAGAGGCAACAAATGAGTTCAAGGAAGAATTAGGAAGAGGGGGTTTTGGTATAGTTTACAAAGTCATAATAGGTAAGAAAGATTCTCCATTTTATGTTGCAGTAAAGTTGTTGGATCAAATATTCAATGATGCGGATAAGGAATTCAAAAATGAAGTAAATGTGATAGGCCAAACTCACCACAGGAATCTAGTTCGGCTTGTAGGATTTTGCAAGGAGAAAGATCAGAGGCTACTTGTATATGAATATATGAGCAACAGTACCTTAGCAGATCATCTGTTTGGTAATATGAGACCAAGCTGGACAACCAGGGTTCAAATTTCTTTAGGAACTGCAAGGGGGCTCTTGTATTTGCATGAAGAGTGCAGTTCCCAGATCATTCACTGCGATATCAAGGCCCAGAACATACTACTTGATGACAATCTAAATCCTCGTATTTCTGATTTTGGTTTGGTGAAGCTGTTGGACTTAAATCAGTCCCAAACAACTACTGTAATCAGAGGGACAAAAGGATATGTTGCCCCTGAATGGTTTAGAAACAAGCCAGTTACAGCAAAGGTGGATGTGTATAGCTTTGGGGTTTTGCTATTAGAGATCATATGTTGTAGACGATGTGTATGCCTAGAGCTCATGGAAGAGGAGAAGCAAATTCTGACAGATTGGGCATTTGATTGCTATCAATTTAGCACACTAGAGTCTCTGGTTAGTGATGACATGGAGGTGCACAATGACAAGTTACAATTGGAGAGGTTTGTGATGGTTTCTCTTTGGTGTATCCAGGAAGACCCACGTCTACGACCAACAATGAGAAAGGTCACACAGATGCTTGAAGGCATTGTCCAGGTGCCAAACCCTCCTTACCCACCCTCATACTCAATTACTAGCCAATGATAGAACACTTGGAACCTCAAGCATTACAGTTTAACTTCTGGTTATTTTTACTTTTGTTTTGTTGAACTTCTGAGCATGATATATACATTTTCTTTCCATGTTAGATAATTCTATTTATCTTTGGAACAATTTTAAACCTTATACTTTTGTAGAAGAATTAGGGACTGCAAAAACTACCATATTTGTAATTAGCAACAACTGTCTTATACAGTATGTTGCAGTACATTATTTTCTCTCTAACTGATGCAGCCTTTCTCTAGTTATAATATTTCCTTGTATCTACAAACAGAGAACAATACAAAACGAAAAATTAAATTTTTGTTTTCACACAGTGAAACGGTAAACAGCACTACAGCGCAAACTGTTTAGAGGAAAGATAAATATACCATTCAAGCATGAACCTATATGCCTTCAATTTTAAGGAGACAGTAGTTTGCATAATTAAAAAATAAACATACAGGTCAATGCACGTTATCTCATCAAATCTACAATGTCAGTTTTCTTTACGGGAATTACCAATGTCATAGCTAGTGACATAGTTGTATCTTTCCTGGAATCTTCACCAAAACAACATTTCAATGTTACAAACAACAATGAATAAGAATCCTAGAGTAGTATAAATTTTAAACGCTGTGTGTACGCGTCCTTAAAATTCCAAGTACAAATAAGGAAAAGGAGCGTGATCTCTGGTCCATCTTTTTATGGGCACCATTCATCAACTAGGGGTCAAATTCAAATCAGCAAATCTGTGCTTACAAAACGAGTCCATGAACCTTTTTTTCTAACATTAAGCTGTCGCATCGGAAGTAACGTAAAGAAAGCTCATTAACAGACAGCAATGCATGTATCATTCAATCAACCACCTAACTTAAAGCATTGAAAATTAGCTCTTAGAAACAGGAAGTTCCTTCTTTGGACTAATCACCGTAGAAGAAAGGAGGTAACAGACAAATATTAACGTTAGCGGGGCTCCACATTTAAGCTGAACCGTCAAAGAGCACTATTTCAATCCCACTATAAAGTCTTTAGTTAACTTCACAATAGAAAAGTCTTTCTACTGCCCACAACAAATGTTATAAAGCCAATAATTTCATTTGGCTCACAATAATATCATCCATCCCATATTCCCATGTGTGAAAAGTCAAATATTTTTAGCAATGGCATGGCCTATTGGCCTCCATCTTGTATCCTTATCGCCTTCACGCTCATTCTTCTACAATCGTCATCCATTACTGCACAAAATGGTGGCAAATTAACAGTTGGCCAATCTCTCACAGCAGCCACCAGCAATGGCTCTCTATTGCTTTCCCCTTCGGGCGATTTTGCCTTTGGCTTTCATCAATTGCCTAACAACAACAATCTCTTCTTGCTTGCCATCTGGTACGCTAAGATCCCTGACACCATAGTTTGGTATGCAAATGAAACTAACCCCGTTAACCTGGGATCGTCAGTAACAATAACTGCTAATGAGGGCCTATTTCTTAGTGATCCTCAAGGAACTCCTCTATGGAATACCGCTGATAAGTTAAGTGGTGGTAGAACTGTTAATTATGGTTTCATGAATGATACTGGGAATTTTATGCTCAAAAGTAGTGATACAGATGATGCAGCTTGGGAAAGCTTTGACCATCCTACAGATACTTTGCTTCCTACCCAGAATTTTGAAAAAGGGGGTTAGATTAGTTCCCGGCAATCAGAAACAAATTATACACAAGGAAAGTTCCAACTACGCTTTCAGGATGATGGAAACCTAGTCCTAAATACAAGGGACCTAGAAACTGGGTTTGCCTATCATCCTTCCTATCAGAGTTACACTGGTAATCAAACAAACCCAGAAAATGCTGGTGACAGTGTAATTTACAGCGAATCAGGGGATTTGTATATAGAGATCAAGAATGGTTCAAGGTTTGATCTCACTCCAGCAAGCATATTAGTCTCAGATAAGACTAATTATCAGAGAGTAACACTGGATTTTGATGGGGTCTTGAGATGGTATAATCACCCGAAAATCTTTGCAGCCAACAAAGTTGTGAATTGGTCCAGTGTTAAGTCACTCCCTGATAACATATGCGCGTCAACTGCCATAACACCTGGCAGTGGCACATGTGGATATAACAGCATATGCAGCATAGGTGAGGACAACAGACTGAGATGTGATTGCCCACCATATTATTCCCTGATGGATCCCAATGATACATATAGCAGCTGCAAACCAAATTTCCCGCAATATGATTGTGATGAGTATGGCCAGGGTGCTACAAAGAATGGATATCAGCTAAAACAGCTTCAAAATATTGATTGGCCATCATCAGACTATGCAAATCTTCAAACTATTACTGAAGACGATTGCAAGAGTTCTTGTCAGAATGATTGTTTTTGTGCTGTTGCCATTTTCAGTAAAGATGGACAAACATGTTGGAAGAAGAGGCTGCCACTCTCCAATGGAAGAAACTATGGTGGAGTAAATAGGATAGTTTGGCTTAAGGTGGGTAATAGAAATGGTTCGAACAGCCTAGTCAACCCTACATTTCCTCCAGATAAAGTAATAAGATACAAGAGAAATCCTGTATTTGTAGCCCTGTTTGGTGGTTCTATATTAGTTAATTTCCTTCTGCTAAGTGCTATAGTTTTGGGAATTTTCATGTATAATAACAAGCATTCCAGACTACTTGATGAACATCAGAGGAAAACTCTTAGTGAATATAGCAGTGTTCATTGCTTCAGCTACAGAGAGCTAGAAGATGCGACAGATGGATTCAAGGAAGAGATAGGACGGGGGGGCTTTTGGCACGGTTAACAGAGGGAAGATCAGAGCAGGAGGATATCCAATAATTGTAGCCATCAAAAAACTAGATCGGGTATATAAAGAGTCTGACAAGGAATTTAAAGCTGAAGTGAATGTGATTGGTCAGACTCATCACAAGAATTTAGTTCGATTTATAGGATTTTGCAAGGAAGAGGATCCGCGGTTACTGGTATACGAATATATGAGCAATGGTACAGTGGCAGATTATCTTTTCGGTGATTTAAGGCCAAGCTGGACTGCAAGGATTCAAATTGCGCAAGGGATTGCAAGGGGGCTCTTGTATTTGCATGAGGAATGCAGCACACAAATAATCCACTGTGATATAAAGCCGCAGAATATACTTCTTGATGATTATTATAATGCCCGTATTTCTGATTTTGGATTGGCAAAGCTTTTGATTTTAAACCAGACCCACACAAATACTGCGATCCGAGGCACAAAAGAATACGTTGCTCCTGAATGGTTCAGAAACAAACCAGTAACAATAAAGGTGGATGTGTACAGCTTTGGGGTTTTGTTGTTGGAGATCATATGTTGTCGAAGAAGTGTGTGCATGGATATCAGTGAGGAGGGAGCTATTCTGACCGATTGGGCATTCGATTGCTTCCAATCTAACACATTAGCATACCTTGTTGATGGTGACACGGAAGCACTTAATGACACACTGCACCTAGAAAGGTATGTAATGGTTGCCCTTTGGTGCATCCAGGAAGACCCAAGCCTCCGACGTACAATGAAAAGGGTTATACAGATGCTTGAGGGTATGGCCGAAGTAGCTAGCCCACCTTGTCCTACCTCGTTTACAGTTACCACTCAACCTTAAGACCCTATAATCTCTAGTATTATTTTTCATATGTACTTTGTTACACTTTACTAGTTCTCACCATGTATCACCCATTTCTACAATAAAAACCCATCTCTGAATCAGTAGTAATAATGGTATAAAGGTTAATTTTAATTATTTCTATTACCATACGAGGCTGCCCGGTCAATCTCCGTGATAATCAAGTTTCATTTCAAGTTGCGGTTTTGGAAACTGGTACTTACACTTTTGCCCCTGTGAACTGTGATAATTGAGCTGGCCTGATTAATCAGCCTGATAACGTTAATCGGGTGGCAATATTGTAAATTGGGAGCTTTGGTATTTGTGTCTTTTTAATTTAATATTAAATTAGCTCCTGTGCAATGCACGAATATAATGAAAAAAACAGAGCTATGTAAAACAATACTCCGTAAAAAAGCATAAAATAATGTTTCATTGGGTAAAGGGTTGTCAAAAGGTTTATTTAAAAAAATTGTGAAGAGTTTAATGTATAGTATTTTGCATTGTATTTTATAGTCAATATTTATTTTTTCCATAAAAAAATGAGAAAGAGAAAATAAGTTTAGGCGGAAAAAAATTGAAAGAAAAACCGACACGTGTACAATTCGGATAAATAAATGATGGTCAGCGGTTGTTATTTTAGTATTAGTTATAGATTGCAATGTACCGTTTTGCTCAAGTGGAATAGGTTACTTCCATCTTCTTCCTACTCATATCTACCATTGAAGCTTCCTCTTTCACCTCCACCAACAACAAACACCATCTCCTTCCTCTTTCATCTCCACCGACAACCACCACCAACACCATCTTCTTCCTCTTTCGCCACCACCGACAACAACCACCAACACCATCTTCTTACTCTTTCGTCTAATTCGTCCCCACCGACGACAACCACCATCCCAAATCATAAGAAGGGGTGAAATTTAGGGTATGGTCAACCCTAAAGGGTAAGGATGACCGTCCTCCATTGAAGCTGTCATCGAGGTCGAATTCCTCCATTAAATCTGTCAGCAGTTCAGCATCCTCAGCAAACTCGAATTCCTCCATTGAAGTTCATTCCAGTTATCAGTTGAAGCTTTATGTTTTATTTTTACTTTAATACCCCCAACTAACCCAGGAAAAGACAAATTTACCCCCTGATAAACATTACAAGTTTATCAGCCTGATAAACTTGTCTACATTGTCTAATTCTCGTTCAATCTAACTCGTAGCTACAAGATGAGGCTTTAAAATTAAAATACTAAAATGGACTTCCATTTTCGGAATTGAGCAATATACGTAGGATTATAATTCAGAAGATGCTTTTCATACCAAAAATCATTAGAAACAAGAACATCACAAATTCACAACAATTGCATAAAAAAAAAATAAATAAATAAATAAAAAATAAAAAAAAAGGCTCAAAAACGCAGGGAAAGGAACCTAAGAAACAAACAATTATTATCAATATATAATAGCAACTCCATTTACATGTTAAAGCAAAATTATTGGGCATCAACGAACAAAAATTGCATGAAAATGAATTTTAAAACGAAAATTAGGCAGCATTTACCTGCATCACAAGATCATCACCAAATTACCATCTCATTTTCCTTTAATCTCTCCAGTAATGGCGCGTAATTGTACTTCACCACTTCAAATTAGGTCGGGGAAAGTGAGATTCCGGCAACCGGCGATTTTTTCCGGTATAATTTCGTTAATCTGATGATCCCAATTTAGGAATGAAGTCTGGTTCACAATCAATTGAACTATTGAAGTTGTTGTTATTTTAGGGTTAGAGAGATGGTAGTTTGTGGTGGTTGAAAGGGTTCGGTGGTGGAGACCGCCAATTTGGGTAGCATTGGGCCGTTAGTCAAGGAAAATGAGTGTAAGGGTGTTTGAGTAATTATAACTAGTAGAGTGTACCGTGTTAATATAGACGGGGTAAAATAAGTAAAATCGCTATATTTTTATTTTATTTTTTATTTTATTTTATTTTGACAAGAAGAAAAAAGATTTTATTAAAGAAATTTATCATTTGCGGTCATATAAAGTTTGTATTTTGTAAATTGCAGTCATTTAAAAAAAAAATTGCATATTACAGCCCAAAAATTCTTCTAAATTGTAAATTGCAACCCAATTCAACTATTTTATTGGTTTGCGTGTTGAAAAATATTTGGTTAAGGTTTTAAGGATCATTTTAAACTTTTAAGGGCTCGGAATTGGCAAAAAAAATAAAGAAAGTGTCTCATTTTACGTAACAAAAATGTATCAATTTGTGGGCAACTATTTTTTGCTGTAAAAACGAGGCACTTACGTTAATTTTTTGCCAATTCCAAGCTCAATTTGGTCCCTTAAGATTTAAAATGGCCACTAAAACCTTAACCGAACATTTTTCGACATGCAAACCGATGAAAAAATTGAATTAGGTTGCAATTTACAATTTATAACAACTTTTGGACTGCAATTTGCAATTTTATTTTTTTTCAAATGGTTGCAATTTGCAAAATACTAACTTTAAATGGCTGCATTTGTAAATTTTCCTTTTATTAATGAAAGATGGTCAAACGGCACTCACAAACAATTTCTAGAAAATCTAAAATTCCAACACAAGTACAATTCACCTTAAAACTAGTTACATCGCAGATTCGACCAACGATCGCCTTAATAAAAAACTTTATCCGAAACAATACAATCTGTGAGTTAGCACGAATTCGACTCCACGGATGAATGATTGTTTGGGTGATAAACCTCATATGGGCTTCTAGATACTTCCAGAGATTATGAAACCCTAAATCTTCAATCTTTGGCATACGAACAAACAAAGAAATTAAGCCTAATAGGATAAACATCATCATAAAGATGAGATCCATTTATTGAAAGAAATTAAAAAGTTTTTAGGGCTTACCACCGGTAAAAACACCAGTGGAAGCTTCTACAAAAATTTACAATTGAGACCAGATGAAAAGAGATGAAAAAAAAAGAGAGAAAAGGAGAAGTGTAAAGGAAAACCTTTTTAAAAATAAAAATAATAAAAAAAAAACAGAAAAAATCTAGCAATGGAGGCTAGAAAAACCCTCCCAAGGGGAAAACCCTAAAGGAAACCAAAAAACCCTCCCAAGGAGAAAACCTAGAGGGAACCGGAGTGAGTTTAGGACTATATAGGTAAAATCGCTATTGGTGTGGCAACTTTTCTCTAAAACCACTAACACTAAAATCATTTTTCGAGGGGGCCCCAATTAATCTCAAAGATTAACGTTTCACTTTATCTCCTCTTACAAATTTATGCATTGATTTGTGTGTCACTTTATTATTTTCATTTTATCATTTAAAAAATAAAAGAAAATGATTATATTTACAGATTTATCGCAGTGTGAAACTTGAATTTACCCTCATTTTTCAATTTTAATGCGCACCAAAAAAAAAAAATCAATTTTTATCCCCAAATCCCATGATAAACACCATTTGTTTATTTTGGAGATTAATTGAGGCTTGCTTCATGTAGAACTAGTGTAATAACACAATTAACATTGTTTAATGTACAATGGAGACTAATTCAAACTATCGTTATGGTTAGCAAAAATTGATCCAGCTTAATAGCCTGACGTGAAAATAGTGAGTTTGGATTGAGCTTTTTGACCAAATTTATTTAAAAACCGTATAAGTAATTAACATCATATTAATAGGGGTATATAGGTAAACAAACATTTTAAGAATATAATTGTCATCCCACTATTCTTAAGTGTTTTCTAAAAAATTTTAAACGGATACTCCCTCCGTTTCGTAATAATCGCAACACTTTGACTTTTGCACTATTCATATGTGTACTTTGACTCTATTTTTTTTTATCATTTTTATAAAAAAAATATATTGCCATGTAATATATTTTTGGATTAGCTTTTAGGTACATTTTCTTTAAATCAAGTTTTATACTTCTCAATAATATATTTTTACAATTATTAATGATGAAAGTTGTGCATGTGTCGATCAAAGTGTTGCGATTGTTATAAAACGGAGGGAGATATAAATTGAAATATGGGTTAAACGGGTCAACCCAAACATAGTACAAATCAAGCTAGGTTGAGAAATTGAAGCAGAAAACTTGAATAATAATTTTAATTTAAGATAACAATCAATAAGAGACGCTTTGGCCGAGTGGTTAAGGCGTGTGCCTGCTAAGTACATGGGGTTTCCCCGCGAGAGTTCGAATCTCTCAGGCGTCGTTTAAATACCTTTTTTTCATTATATATCAATGTATGGCGCCAAACTTAAATTTTCTCTCTCGTATTTCAACATTTTTTTTTTTTTTTTTTTTTTTTTGGTTTCGCTTAAATGAGATACTGTCAGATAAATTTTTCTTGGTTTTATCAGAAATTTTAAAAATCTAGCGAAAACAAAGCTATTATGAAGTTATCAGCATTGTTTAGGCCATATAAGTTGTCATATGATGAACTTTGCTCAGTTTTGCAGAGATGCACGAAGTCAAAATCATCAAATTTAGCCAAGCAAGTTCACGGGATGTTGATAATAAGTGGGATTGATATGTCCAGAATGTCATTGGATGCAAAGATTTTGGGTGTATATGCAAGTTGTGGTAATCTTAGGTATGCACACCAACTGTTTGATAAAATGTTAAACCCTAATGTTTTTGCTTTTAATTGGATGATTTCGGTTATGGCTTTTCATGGAAATTGTGAGGAGGCAATTGGGTATTTTTCTTTGATGCAAAAGATGGGAACTTTACCTAATAAGTATACACTTTCGTTCGTCTTGAAAGCTTGTGTTGGTTTGTTGGATTTGAATAAGGGAATGGAAGTTCATGCTGTGATGAATAAAATGGGTTTTGAATGTGATGTGTTAGTTTGCAATGCTTTGGTTGATATGTATTGTAAATGTGGTAAGATGCAGTATGCTCGAAGGGTCTTTGATAGAATATTGTGTAAAGATGTAGCGTCTTGGACGTCCATGATTTCTGGATATAGTAATGTAGGGAAACTTGATGAAGCAATTGGATTGTTTGAGCAGATGAAGCTGGAAGGGTTGGAGCCAAATGATTTCACATGGAGCGCCCTAATAAATGGGTATGCTCAGAGTGGAGATCGCGATGGTGCTCTTGTGCTTTTCTCTCGAATGACTAGAGAAGGGTTGTGTTGTGATTTGATTACATGGAATGCATTAATTTCTGGTTTTTCTCGCAGCAATCAACCTTTTGAGGCTCTAAAATTGTTTAGGGACATGTTAGTAGCTGGAATTAGACCCAATTATGTGACTGTAACTGGGCTGCTTCCAGCTTGTGGATTGATGGGATCAGTTCAAAGAGGAAGGGAACTTCATGGCTTGATATACAGACTGTCCCTTGATGTCAATGTCTATGTGGCTAGTGCTCTTATTGACATGTACTCAAAATCTGGAAGTTTCAAAGCTGCAAGAACTGTATTTGAAGGAACTCGTGTCAGAAATGTTGCCTTATGGAATGTTATAATTGGATGCCTTGGAAAGAATGGTGTTGTTCATGAATCCCTGCGATTGTTTGAAGAAATGCAAGAACAAGGTTTTCAGCCAAATGAAGTGACTTTAGTTTGCGTTCTTTCAGCTTGCAGCCATGGTGGGCTAGTTGAAAAGGCTATGGAAATCTTTAGGTCCATGAAAGATATATATCAAGTTGAGGCCAACAAAGAGCACTATGCTTGTGTTGTTGACCTTTTATGTCGTGCTGGGGATGTAGAAGAAGCTTATGAATTGATCAAAAGGATGCCAATGGAAGCTACAGAATCAATTGTTGGGGCTTTCTTCAATGGGTGTAGTGTACATGGAAGAAAAGACCTAGCTGAAAAAATGGCAGACGATCTTTTGAAAGTAGCCTCAAAGAAACCTGGAGCTCTTGTGACATTGTCAAACATACATGCGGCTGGAGAAGAGTGGCAGGAAGTCCAAAATGTGAGGAAGTTGATGAAGGGGAAAGGGGTTTACAAGAAGCCAGGTTTTAGCCTTGTTGACAGAGGTAATTCATCACTTTTGAAGTCATAGGAAGAACTAATGTGGACCATGGGCCAGGTAGAACCTCATAAAATGTGCTTATATGTCTTTTGTATGCGTCAATATTGTTGTCTGTGAATGCTATGGAGTACAATGCTACTTTGCTATGTAGAGTTTAATAGGAGTAGTTTATTACTTCCTCTGATTTTCCAGAAAATACCCTGATGGATTTGTTTTAAAGGTCGTTCTCTTAAACATCTAATTGTCTGCTGAATGTAGACATCAGATTTTTAGAGTTACAGAATTGTAAAAATTTTGCCCATATAAAGATGTTGTTTGCTTGTGTTTTAGAAGCAACGCTGCAACGGTGTTCATTTTCATTTTTATTATGCACAGAAGAGTTTCCTTTGGAGCAATAGTATGGACGACACAAAGACATTGCTACAAGCCAACAAATGAGAGTTCAGAGATGAAGGTTAGCATATAGATGTATAGGAATCTGATTAAAAGTAAGGCACACTGCTGTTAATCCATAGATTCTAATTAAACTATGCTTGTATTCAGGTTAATTGCAATTCTGCATCAAAATCTGTGCACTTTTTTTCACTAGCACCTAATCTTCATCTCCTTTCCAGCAGGCATGTTGCAAAAGGTTAGTTGCAAAATTGTGGCAAGGCTGGCTGGAATTTGACTGTTGCTGTAAAGATAGTACTCATGAGCCACAACAAGAAGGGTTGCCAAAGGCTAGCTGCCTGATGAGCTGTAAATTGTACAAAATTATACTGCTTTTAATTTGTGGTCGATCGATTGGTGCAAGAACAGTCAAACTGTATCAGGGGCAAAAGATTCATTCAACTATACAAGTACTTCCTTTCCCTCAATTTTCAGGTGATCTAAGCCCTATCTTTCTAACACCAACATATTCATGGTGGTGCTGTGGTGTGGCTCTGGTGAAACATGGTCTGCTACTCTGCTGTTTCTAGTGTTTAATAATATGTGATGGAGCTCAGTTTTGAGTACTTCAAAATGTATAGCCAAGCCCAAGCATATTACTGTGAAGTCTGTGATATACTGATTGTCTAAGTATTGGAGTTGGAAACTTGTGACTTTGAGATCGTATTTAACTCACTACTAGGGTCTCTTGGAGGCTCCCTGGCTTATCAAGGTTCTAGGATTTGATTGGTATGAGGAAAATTCCTTGAGATAGGGCCCCTAAGGAAGGCTAATATCAACCAGAAGATCATTAAGGAAAACCCACATGTGAATTGTTGTCCCACATTGAAGAACAAGGAGGATGATCAATACACGAGTATGCCAGCGGGAAACTTCTATTGCCAATTAGTTTTAGAACGAACTCTACATATAACTTATATGTGGTCAGTGGTCGGACATAGACATCATCTTTAATCTTAATTCAGTACAATATAAAAGTGATATTTTTCTTCACACTTTCATAATTACCAACTGATATTTTATATTTCTGTGAATAATCTGCTAGATACTTTGCTTGAGATTTGCTTATATGTTTTTTTTTTTTTAAAAAAAAACACTTTAGCTAGCTGAGGGCAGAGAGGCCCATGCATTGATTAATGAAGTAATATTTTAGGTGTTAGAATTGAAGGTTAAGTTATGAGTTGCGTGGGTGCTTTAATTGCTGGAGTTTTGCATACTCTTTAACACCAACCAAATCAAACACAAATAGTGGGACCTGATTTTATTTTTGTTTTTGTAGAAAGTTCTTAAATGTAATCTGTGGGTGTTGCCTCTGCTAAAGTACTTTGCGACTTTATGCCGATATGTATGACTATCAAGATCTATCATATCGTACTACACTAGTGACTACTCTGACTAGTGTGCATTGCTGCTAGTGTTGTTGTCCTTTATTACGGAGTACTCCCGTCTTTTAACTAATTTGAATTTTATTTTATGGTTTTAAGATGTGTTTGAAATTATTGATATCGTCAACTCTATGAGTAAAAAAATTAGAGCTATTTTACATAGAGCTAGCAAAAAGTTGTGTCGTGTCATGATCGTGTTTGATCCCGTGTCAATTTCATGTTATTCACATAAACTATATAAAATGTAGGATAATTTCATTATTTGACCATTTTATCTAAATGGGTCATGTTCAAGTTGATTTTGTGACGTGACGTGACGTGTCGTATCGTGTCCACTTTGTATATTCTTTCAGTTTCTTCATGTTCGTGTTATGCCAGTTTTGGTCGTATTTTAGTGTTGTGTCAGTAGGGCTGCAAACGATCCGGGCCGAGCCGAGTTTCAGCCTGTTCGAGCTAAGCTTGATAAGTATTATTCGTGTTCGAACTATCTTGAGTTTGAACGAGCTTTTAAAAATCTTGTTCGAGCTGGGCTCGTTAAGAATTTGGCTTGTTCGAGCTTTGTTCACAAACGTACTCGTTTGCATTTCGAGTTTAAGTTCGAGTTTGAACGGGATTAAATCGGGCTTGACTAAATAAACGAGCCCTAATTTGTTATTGAAAAAAATGTTTCCTTTTAAATTTTAACACAACGGAGTTTTCTTGCCTTTACATGATGAAATAAATAGTACTTTCTTACAAATATCTATGAATAAAAGATATATAAATTGTCCGAGTTTTAATCGGATATTAAAAAAACTTATATTTGGACTTAAACGAGTTGTTCATGAACATTATTGAGTCGAACATGATGTTGTTCGAGCTTTGTTCATTTATTTGACGAGCTTAAGATTTTTGTTCAAGCTTGTTTGTTAGCTTAATAAACGAGTTTTGATCAAGCTTTGACCGAGCATGTTCGCAAGTAGTTCACGAACGTATCAGCTCATTTACACCCTATGCGTCAGAGATTATCAGCTCTATTTTACATGATTATTTATTTATTTTATAGATTAATGTGATTTTTTTGTTTCCCAACTTTGACCAAAAAAATTAAATTTGATGGGAATCTATTTGGTTGAACTGTTGAGGGGGAGACCGGGGAGTACTTGTATCTTTTACTTCTACATGAAACTCAGTATGCTTAGTAGTTCAACTCATGTAACACATATTAAAAATTGTACTAGCTGGAAATTCTAACTAGGTTTGTTGACCTTCATGCTTTGTGTACTAACACAACGTAATGGAAACTTTTGTTAAGAAGCTTATTTAATTTTGAATTCATAGGGGAGGGCATGTTCGGCAAAGTTATTAACAATATTACAAGTTGTAAATTGTTGTTTTTATTGGTTATTTTAAAGCAACAAATGAACTGCAAAGTATTTTTTTAGACTTGCTACTTAATTCAACGATCTCAAATTATATTCTCTTTAAAACTTTTTAAACAAAAAATTCCAATATATTATGTATAACAGTACTTCCTCGTCTCTTTCATCCGCTCTTGTAGATCTTGTTTACTCCATTCAAATATAATTTTTAATTTTTAATTTTACCAAGTTGACGAGAGCGAGATTGATTAGACCAAATAGGGTTACATACTTCTTATAAGACAATCCGTGATTCCAGGGTACGAGTTGCTTATAGTAACAATGTTAGAGTTCAATGCAACCCCTCATATTTACCATTATATCAATATCATTGTCAAAGTACCTCTTAGTTGGATTCTCCTACTACATTTTGCGGTCATTCAATCTCTACGGAGCACCCTTATTTGTTTTTATAAGGACAATTTTATGGGGCAAATTGATTTATCTTAAAAGTAAGAAGATAACTTCCATGAGACCATGACTCCATCACTATCATACAATATATATATTATAATCCTAAAAATAAATATATTTTCATGAAGATAAGTTGTCATATTTTCGATGTTCTAAAATTCCTTTCTTTATTTTATGTTTTCTATTCTACTAGTACCCTGAATCGTCATGCATTTTTAAGATTATATTAGTATTAGACCTATTAGTATATTATTTTTGATGTATTCTATGATTAATTGAATATACCTCCATAAAATAAAGCAAAAACTTGTAAGAATCATCATAGAACAACTAAACTTTTAAGAATGATTTTATTCTATTCTTCAAATCATGCTTCCAACCATCAAGGTTGATGCTTGCTATGTCTAAATTATTTTACATGCTTTATGATTAACATCCGTGATTTATGGTTAAATTTCGATTATTGCTTACATTTTTCAAAATAATTAATGACGATTTTTAATAATATTTTTCCTTTAAATATGATACTTGAGCATTTGGTATCATCTTATGAGTTTAAGGTATGGATTTAGAAATTTAAATTTTGTATTAAATAAACAGGTAAGGATTTTAGCCAATTCAAACTCATAACTCATCCGAGCATACCAATTAATTTTCTAAAACTATTTAAACTATTTATGCGGAGTACTTATTATAATTGATTTTAATTGTTCAAATTTGATTTTTAGCATATTTACAAGAGTATTAGCTTGCTATAAAATAATACGAAGTATTGATTTTTACAGATTAAAACTATTTGAATCTAACCATTATTTATATATAAATGCAAATCAAATTAAGTTGGATATAATATAAATTCAACATATTTAAATATTGTAAAACAAAAATAAAAACTTTTTTTTAGCAAACAAGTGTAAGGTAAATTTAGCAAAAAAAAAAAAAAAAAGAAAAAAAAGAAAAAAAGAGATGCATTAATAGTTAAGGGTGTTACGTCCTAATAAACCCAAGAGTTAAAACAACTACTTAAACTAGAGGTGTAAATCTGCTATCATGCAAAGTATTTTATTTTTTTTTTATTTTTTTTGTCTTAATAAGTATTTTTAATAACAAGTTAGACTTTAATAATTTTGAACGATAAAATATACACAGGTATACATTTAAAAATAAAATGAGATGAACACAGAAAGTACATATACTAAGTACTCCAAAAGACTAATATAGTAATATCCAATCATCCATAAAATTATAACAAGTCAATTTTACCGGGTCTACTCTTGCCACACAAGACAACGCTCCAAAAGCTCCATTCACACTTACATAGTTACATTGAACTTAAACAGTTTTTAAGTTAACCCCTTTGTTTCCTTCTTCCCCAAGTCCAACCCTGATTTCATAGTCAAACTAATCTTTACCCTTCTTTGTGCTATAATATTTTCAACTCTTCAAGTAAACTCCAAAAAAAAGTGGTAAATAAAGCAGCAAATTTCACTCCCCCTCAAAAAAAATACACATTACAGTCCACATTTTCTACACCAGCAGCAGCAGCAGAAGAAGATATCCCTCTCTTCACTCTTTCTCTCTCTTCTTTCTCTCTCCTCTTTTTGCTTCATCTTCTTCTCCTGGGGCTGCTTATTTCTTGCATCATTTAATCAATCTTTGTTTTTTAGATTCTTCTCGAATAAATCTTCTTCGTTTTCCTCCCCTTTTTCTGATCTGGGTTTTTCTTTCTGATTATTACACTTATAAAATCAGAAGAAAAAAAAAACTGTAGAAAAAGATTCAAATTTTGGGTTGATTTTCAACTGGCTTTTTGTTCTCCTCGACTAATTTCAATGATTGTGAAGAATATGCGCAAAATTTGTTCTTGCATTCAGTTTATAGTTAGTTTCCTCCCCTTTTTCTCTCTCTGTGTAATGGTATTTGTTTTTAATTTTAATTTTATTGTTTGGGAATTGATTTTTTGTTCATCTGATTGAATTTACATCTGTTGACTACTTTGCAATTCTGGATCTATTGAATTAATTTGCTGATTGTCTGCAATTTTTATTTTCTTGGAATTTGTGAGGCTATTAATTTCAAGATGTTGTCTTTATGCATTATTGTTCCTTATATAATCGAGATTTTAATGTTTTATATTCAAGAATTTGAAAGTTTTTCAACTACTTAATCACTTATCTCTGCTTTGTGTTTCTATTATAAGTTTAATGTTGTTTTCAATTTTAATGGCATATTATGTTTTATAATCATATGCTAATCAGATTTCTAGATTGAATCATATTGAATGGGATTTGAGGGTTTTAGAATATGTTATATCTTTGAATATCAATGTAATTTTATCTGCATGTTGGATTTTGATGCACTGATTTATCATATTGTAAATTTTGGTTATGATTCAAAGTATATTAGATTGTTCCTTAGAAAAGCAAGAGGGAGATTAGATTTTAAGTCTAATATTATGTAAATTTGTGACAAGTTTTTCTTAAGATGAGATTTAGCTTTGTATGAGATTAATTTGCATCAATTTTGAATTCAGTGATGTGGGTGTTTTGGTATTTATTTGAGGCATCTAAATAGTTGAGCTTTAATTGATAAATTGGAATTGGGTTTTGCTTGTTCTTTGACAGAGAAATCAGTTCATTGCTTGAATTTGCTATTTGTGGGAGTTTGAGTTATGGGGAGAGGTAGGGGGAAGGGGAAGAAGTTGACTGTTACGAGCCACGATGATCCGGGGAGTGGCGAAGAGGAGAAGATCCCTGCCCAAAAGAGAAGAGGAAGACCTCAAAAGCCATTGAAGGATGAGGTTGATGATGAAGATGTAGTAGGAAAGGTAGAAGAGGAGGACAGTGAGAATAAGGATTCAAGTATCACGACCGCCATTGAGAGTGGTAAGAAGAGGAAAAGGAGCTCTCCATCAAAGGAGAAGCAGAGTCCTGTGAAAGAAGAAAACAGTGTTGGAGCTACCTTAGTTTCAGAAATTTCAACCAAGCCTAGTGGGTTTCGGCATATTGGGAGCAGGAGGAAAAACAAGCCTCGACGAGCAGCAGAAGTCGGGGTTGAGTGCTAGTGACATAACAAGTGATACATAATTAGTTGAGCTAGCTTGAGCCCCATTTTGTTAATGGATAGATTTGTTCTTGGGCTCTCGAGTCATCCGGTAAGGCGCGCCTGAAACCTTTCAGGCTTTTGCATTCTTTTGTCATTTGCCCTAATATTTTGGCTGCTTTTCATTAGTTATCTTTGATATTTTTTTGCCGATTATCCAATCATACTTCTTGTAATTTCTTACAATGACTATGATAATTGACATGTTACTAGCTGGTTTTTAGCATTCAATTGGTTTTTTTTGCTATGCCTTGGATCCTACTATATTGATATTATACTATCTGGCTTTAGATAGAAATAGAATTCAGTTTTCTTCAGATTTCCAGTTCATAAACCTCTGGAAAAGTCCTTATATGCAAGTCTATCTTCTCCTATCATGTGCATGTTTTTGTTTTCGAGTGTCTCCTTGCATCATTTGTTCATTTGACAGTAACATGATGTCGTGACAGTAAGTTACTGCCCTCTTGTGTAAAACACTTGTGCTCTTCATCTTTTTATCATGTGTGCTAATGAGGGGTGATTGCTTATAAAGTGTGTCGTTGAGAATCGCCTCTTCTTAAGGCCCAAGTTATACCTTTCAGGGAGAATTACACTGTTGAAATAGGATAAAATTGGACTACACTTGGCTTATCTATGAACTGTGATTTAGGGACCAAATACAATATATATATATATATATATATATATATATATATATATATATTTTTTTTTCGGTGTGAGAGCTTGATTAAGATATTGCTTGAACTTGTGATGCAAATCTTGGCATCGAAGTTTGGTGATGTTCTTTTCTTTGCGATGATGATGCCCTTCGATTTTGCATGCAACTGGGGCATCAAGGGACGATAATGGTCTTTATGAAAATGCCCTTCTGGGTAGGACTCTAGTCTCTTTGGACACCATTGCCCAGTCAATACCTAACTTAAGGCCTTCCTAGGCATTCTTAGTAGAGCTGTCAAATTGTTTGCTCGGGTTAGTTGTGGGTATTGCTAATTCGAGGTCAATTAGCAAATATAAGCTCAGGTTAGATAAATTCGGACAAAACAAATTGAGTAGAATAAGCCCCTTAGTTGGTCGTTGCTCTATTTCGTTCTAGAAATCGTTATGGGGCCAAATTATAGGCCATGATTCATGAATGTAAATGGAATGGTTGAATTTTCAATTTTGTGATGATTCTTGATTTGAATGTGTGATACACTGATACTGTAGGAATGTAGTGGAAGAAAAGTGTGACCCCTTTATAGGCCAGGGGGATTGGAAACTGGGTTCATAGGTGGTTCTAGCTTATAGTACTACTAGTAGTTTGACAAATTACTTCGAAGAAAAAAAAAAACCTTCTTTTAGCAATATAGGTTACCAAAGTAGGAAAAAAAGCCTATTATCATGTATCTTGACATTCTTGACTAAGAACATAGATCAATTGAAACACTACCCTAAATAGTACCATCAAATTCAAATTACACTACCATAAACATTATTTTAAGGATCATACTCCGTAGTAGTAGAATTGTCGATAAGTAACTATAGATAGGTGCTAACAACAACTAATTTTGCCAAACATTCGTTGATCATCTTTCATTAAGACAAAAGTGATCGACTAGAGTATGGAAATATTCCGAAGGGCAAGTTGGTAGAGGACAAAAGAGGAGTCTTATAAAAGTAGAGTACATGTTGGGTGGATTAGATAATCTATAAGTAGAAGACTTGGATCTGATGAAAGTAGTAATAACAAATAAGAATAGAATAGATTAGATTAGTATATCCGCGGCCTACCAAACAAAATTTAAATTTGGAGTTTAACAGCCACTCACCCACAACTCTTACACGTTAATTGCCATTCTACTACTTGTTTCTTGCTCACGCCTTTATTCACTTTTGTGGTCCTTACTATCTAATGTACTCATTATTTTACTTTTAAATTTTATCTTATTAGTTCTATAATACTTTAACCATATTTTTTTTGAAAAAAAAAAATAATTCTTTGATTCTTAAACTTAATTTTAAGATTATAGGAGGAAAAAAGAGTGAAGTTTTTAAATTTTTTTTAATTTTTTATTTATTTTTTATTTTTTTAATTTTTTTCGAGCTCAAATTATAAGAGCTCCCCACTCTAACCAATTTTATGGTAAGAAGCAAGCAACCAAACAAGAAAGTTAGGATAGGATAAATCCTAATTAAAAAGATAGAGTGAAAATCACCCAAGTTCGTTTGCTTTTGCTCGGGAGAATTGAGTTCTTTGCTTCAACTCTTGGACATACGTATTACATATACACAAATGATACATACAACAGTGCACTTTTTTGCAATGTCCACGCCATACTTTATGTCATGGTTTACTTTTTATTAGGAATAGTGGCGCAGCTGGATCTCTATTTCGCAACAAAATATGAAGTACTTTTTTCGTTCCATAAATATGAGTATTGTTTAAATTTGTTTTGATATATTTACCTGCACTTTCGAAGTATGAATTCATATTCACATTACCAAAACGTTGCAAAAGGTAATGAGACACTTTGAAGACGGAAGAGATATTAGTTGCATTAGCCAATTGAAGACTACTCCAAAAAGACTGCTTAAAGTGGAAAGTGGACTAACATTTTCCGGCATTGCAACAGTACTAAGAAATGTAAGTTTGACGTAAAAGTAAGCCCATAGGCCATCATGCTAGCATTAATAAATTAATGGGCTTAGCCCATCATTGCCTGTTAAATAATTAAAAAGCCCATAAACTTCACAATTCACATAATAAGTCCCCTTTTTCTTTTTTTTTTTTTCTTTTTTTGACAAGCACATAATAAGTCATTACTAATAATTTACTCCGTAACATCAAAGTTTATGTTATAGACATAAAGCTAAGTGAAAGCTACATGTTTATTTAATAAGAAAAAAAAATTGAAAGAAAAGAAAGAAACTATAGTTCCTTTTCTTATCTTTAATATTATTTACAAACAAAATGATGTTCTAAGAAATGGTTGATCAAATACTTGTAGCATCCAATAACATCAACTCTTGATCGACTCCAAAGTTTCTGCATGCCTAGATCTACACCAATTAATCAAACCATTAATAAATAGTAAGATCACGAATGTGATACGTGTAACACAGTTTCATTGTTTATGTATGTAGTGTCTAATTACATGTACAAGGACTTGTGAGAAAGTAACATCACGAATGTGGTACGTGTAACACACACTAAAACTCGAAAAGAATGAAAAATAGAGATGGTATGTATGTAGTACGTACCTGGTGTAGATATTGCCATTAACAGGGTTAGGAACGGTCTCTTTGCCTTTGTCTTGGACATGAGCAACCTTCCTTAAGAAAGAGTTGTCCACATATCTACCACCATGATTAACAGCTTGCATTGGATTTTCTAATTCATTGATCATTTCCCTCTTTTTCTTGTTGAAGTAAACATTAGGGTTGTGCACCAATTGTTGATATCCTGTGTGAGAGGCTATGCCTCCTGCTATAATCACAAATCCTGCTACTATGTATATGGGCGCGAAATCTGCCCTTATCCTGCATTTTTTTTTTCATGTTCTCGTACACATCAATTCATCGATCTATGGTAAATAACAATTCCTTCCATTTTTAAACACGAGTTCAAAGTTAGTTTAGATTACGTTGATATATAGATTCATACTTTTTAATACTTCCCTAATGTTATCTTTTGAACAATATCATGGTACAAGTATCTCATTTTGAAATTTATGTGTTCGCGATCCCATTTTGCAACACGTAGTTCCAACTAATCATCAAAACATTCAGAATAACTTATTTTCTTATAGAAATCATTTATAGTTTGTCACTTTTTCACTAATGTAAAATTAAACGCTTAATATTATTGGGTGGGACAAAAAACAACATGATAATCTGGTCAAAGAATTGGAAAAAAGAAAATAAAAATGTTACCACTTAGATTTGGGAGTGGGAGATGAAGCCGTGGAGAATGATCTGGTCTTTTGTTGCATCATTGATCTCATCAAATAACCCTACAAAAATAATCATTATATCTGTTGTCATTTGACCCCCCAAAAAAAGGGAGAAAGTTGTGACAAATTCCGGGAAAATAAAAGGCAAAAGAATCATTTTGCAAATAACAATATAAATCATCATAAACAACCCTTAAACAACCCAATCATCATCATCATAATTCTTATTAATAAGATCAATTTCTAATTAATCAACACAAATTATGTAATTAAGTGATTGACAAGAATTATAAGTAAGAGAAAAACTTATTACCGATGCCCTATGAGCCATTCTTTTTTATCTCTTTGGTGTTAATTGAAAATGCAAGAAGTTTAGCAATTATTGATCGTAAAATAAATTTATACTAGATTGAATAAAATTAGGAATATAAAATGTTTTTATGATATGAAAATGAATATATACGTGGCTTAGGGATACAATACAATTTACTAAAAATAGTAAAGAAAATTAGGAATTAGGAAAGTTGGTTATTATTCAGTTTAGTTTCGTAAGTAGTATTGTGTTAGTTTCTATGACTTGGCGCCATTCTCGGATTATTTGTTTCAAATTATAAATGGTTTTTTTTTTTCCTCATAATTTTTCATATTTTTTTTCATTTCTATTTGTTTTTACATTCTCCACAGTTTTAAGGCTGCCCCCTTTATGTAACTACTCATAGACGGTATTTCAGGTATCGGTGGAGGGTGGCAAATGGCAACCTAATTTAAGGACGACGAAAAAATTTATATTAATCGTGCTATGATTATTTATGACCATTGCTCGCTCTCACCTCACAAGTCACAACCCCGGCCCTCACAGGCTCACAACGTCTAATTTATGAAAGGTTGGTTATTGGTCCAAAACCGTGCAATGCAATAATTACCCTTACCTTAAACAAAGGAGATTAATTTATGAATAAACCTTATGATCAATATATTTTTTAACAACATTGGACTTAATTCCTTAACACCATTTTTCCAACTCTTCATGTCCTCACCCTCAATTCAAATTTGATATTATTGTCTAACATTAAAATATTCATTTGGCCATTTTATTATGTGTTCCAATCCTCCATATTATATATCTATCGATGCAATTTGTTTACTTCTTATACTATATATCCAAATGTAATTTAGGTTATTTAGCATGATAATAATTAAAATTTTACCATTAATTCATCATAAAGACATAAAGTCACAAAGTGGCATACTTTCTCTTTTTTCTTTTTTTTTTTTTTTTTTTTTTTTTTTTGGGATAGGGACTAACTACTTAGCTAGGGACAAACTTTTTTTTCATTATTTTTTAATTTTTATTTTTCAGTAGATATTGAATGTAATATATTCATGTATAATAATGTAGCTAAAGACGTGTGCATGAATCCTTTCGAAGCTTTCGTGGCAATAGTATCATACTTAGCTTACATCATGCATGCACGTATATTAATAATTTCTTCACTTATTTACACATTCAAATCAAAACGTTCCAAAAGTAACATTTTCAACTCAATGATTTAATCAGCTCACAATTGTATTATTAGCTTAACTATATTAAATAATTACAAAAGCTTAATAAAATTATTAACTCCAACATTATTATTAAAAAAATACGTACCGTTTGTATCCTTTACGTCCACTTGATAAATACGGAGTATTAAATTTATAAATTCCAAGTTGTTTAATTTCTTACTTCTTACAAGGATGAGAAAATAATAATGAGTAGGACTTTAAAATGAAAATTAAACAAAATATTACAACACATGCAATAAACTTGATGAAGCAATCACACCGTCTTTTGCATTTCTCTTTTGTCATCATGAACAAATATTAGCTAGTTTAATTTTCCCGATAAGTATGTAGCCAATGACATTCGATTTCGTGGTGTCAATGAACTCGGTACAACTGCTTATTGTAAACTCTATCTATGAAGAAGAACCCCAATTCAACCAAAAACAAATGAAAAGAAGAAGAGCACCAAGGAAAGTACGTAGTAAAAGAAAATTACAAAAAGAGAAATAAAATTGTTCAAAAAAAAAAAAAAAGGTTTAGTAGAAGTAAGCAGAAGATGAGCCCGTGTCAAACCCGTCAAATACCGGGTCGGATACAACCGGCATCTTGCTAAAAAGCGGGCTATGTTGCATGATTGAATGATACGGGTTATTGTCGTTTAGGATGGTCGTCGTCCCATTACTTGTACCACTCATATTGGGTTCGGTACTAACTATGTTATCGAACCCTACTGACCCAATCTGGCTCGAGAATCCGATAAAGTCCGGGTCATTTCCGACCCATTGACTCATATCCACACCCATACCCAAATCCATATCAATACCCATACCCATACCGAAGCCCATGTTGTAACTCGAAGTAATATCCGGGGGCAAAGGGGGAAGTTCAACTTCTTTGGTAGGTTCATTATTTTGAACACAAGGTTGATAATTGTTATTAATGGGCTGAGGATAATTAGTATTACTCCAACAGGCCCAAAAGTTTTGATCAGTTGGGTTGGGCTGGACTTGGGCCGAGGAAGGCCCATTAGTGAAAAAGATTTGGTTAAGGTGAGACTGGTCGTCCGGGGAGAGAATGGATGTGACCGAGGACCCCGCCGGGGAGTCAGAGTAAACAAAATTGGTTCGGGCCCTAGACGGGCCTCTCATGGACCGGGCAGCCCGGTCATAGGCTAGGGCAGCTTCCTCCGCGGTGTCAAAGGTGCCAAGCCAATGACGCTCCTTTGTGGTGGGGTCCCTTATTTCGGCTGCATAGCGCCCCCAAGGACGTCGCCTCACCCCCAAGTATCTAATAGTACTCGGGGGTGATTCTTGTTGTTGTTGGTTGTGTTTTCTTTTACTCCTAGGCGAAGGAGTCTTTATTGCCGTATTTGAGTTGGTACTCATGCTGCCAAGGTATTCCATCTAGAAATAATAATTTTAGGTTCGCGTCTGTTTAACAATAACAGTAACAATAACAATAACGACAATGATATATACTACTTATTATATAGTATAGTATGAAGATATAGTAGGTATGTCGTAAGTGAGAAGTTAGCTAAGTCTTAAGCACTTTGACTTAAGAGTGAGTAGCTTAGAAAGAGGAGAGAGAAAATGAAGAGAGAGAAAGAGTTTGTGTTGGGATAATTGTGAGTGTGTGCTTAATTTGAAGTTGCTTTAATAGGGGACGACTGAGGAGGGTATGTGTCCTTGACAATAAAATACTCGGATCACGCATCCTTCTACTACAGGTCACACTTAAGGCAATAATTAACAATTAAGTGCCTTTTTTAATTACTGTAATAATTCTTCTTTTGTTTTTCTAGTTTACTTAATCTACTGGTCACTTTCTCTCTCTCGTATAAATGTATAATAATGATAAGCATCATCACTATTTGAAATTAACACGTAGTACATAAATAAACAATTTTTTTAATAGGTTTCATGTCATTTAATTTGAAAACAGTTCTAACTTTAGTTCTCTTAAATTGATATTGAGAATAGCTAGCTCGTTCAAAATCTAACTAATCTATTCAAATCTTACTAGCTAAATATTTAGTATTTACTAATTTGAATTTAAGCTGCGTCAAGCTCTAAACAAGCTAGGTACGTACTCTATACCCAAGGATCAAATCTATTATAATTGGCATGGTGCATAGAGAATTCTTTCTTAAAATTTTATGATCGATTATATTATGAAACAAATATCTAAAAGTCTGACATAAATAGTATATAAGTATATTATAGTATATGCAAAATCAGATTGGGGAAATGATGAAAACAAATTGATGGTCCAAATTACAGTCTACAAATTCAGACTACAACTCTACTAGTACAATTGTACAGTTAGTTAGAACTAGAACTAAAACGTAACTAACCCTGAACCCTAACCCTCAATAATAGCATTACGTTACGTCGTTACCTATCTAAAAATGTACTAAGCTACTAAAGAGGTACTTTATATAGCACTTTGGAGTACGATAACTTTAAGCATGAGTTACATGAGTTCAAATTTATTGTAGCTTAGGCAAGCATTACACGTAGAATTACTATATCCGTTTTATAATGATCTTTACATTTACTAGCTAGCTATTTGCATGTACACATATTAATAATATAGGAGATCGAGAGTGTTGACATATATGGTGATGAGTACTGAGTAGTAGATAATAAGAAACAGGTAACAAATATTAGAGGAAGAGGGTGAAATTTAAAGATGTTTATTGTAAGAAATAATAGGGATAATGTACTATAGAGCTAGTGAGTGAATAAATTTAACTTGTTGTACAGAGTCGTCCGGTCGTGATTGATTTATTTTAGCTATATAGTAGTATAAAAACTAAGCATATAATGTCTTTAGTATGTACATACAAGTGTATAAAAGCTCAGCTCGTAACTATTTTAAATATGATTTTGGAGGTCCAAGCAATCATACACTCTCCTTATTTTTTAACCCAAGATCGGCCACTACTTATTAAAATTAATTAGTTGCTTTATTTTGCATGTGATTTCCTACCATAGTTCCCAATTATATTACTATATGCTTCGTATCAACATTTAGTAGCTGATCATAAGGGTGTACTACGTAAGATATCCACCTGTTAATAATTAACCCCAATATATGAATGTAATTGTACATTATGAGCATGCATGCTGCCTTTAATTGGCTAATAGACGAAAGCAATAGGAGTTAATTTTAAAAAATGGTTCAAATATATTGAAAAAATTAATTCTTAATTGAATAAAATCCAGAATAGATTGATCTGATCTTCACCATATGATTGCTAGAAGCATGGGATCAACTACCAACAATCATTGCAAATGATGTACCTGATCATATGATCTCATGATTATCACCAATCATACATATATCAATACATGCATGAATTAGACTTGTGAACTAATTAATCTACCTTAATTTAGTATTGATTAAGTATATTGTATGATTATTAATGTATAAATAGTGTACTATTAAGATCTATTGATGATTGGTCTTGTGATATGAAATGATGAAATAAAAAAAATCTAGTGATTAATTTCATGAAGATACAGCAAATGATGGCGATTATCATGCGTTTTGATGAGTAGGGCAAGGTTGACAATGACCAAATATGAGTTAATGAGAGAGTTTAATCATAGGAGGAAAGAAAAAAGTAAGTGTTAAGATTTATGAAAGAAGATAGATGATTAAAAGGGGATGATTACAAGAAGAGTAAGCTAAGTCTCATCTATCTTTTGGAATTTTTTTTTTTTAATTTTTTTTTTTTTAATTGATGAAAGATACACAAGTGAAATTAAATTTGTCCTCTTATCTCAACAGGTGAGATACAGCAGAGTGTATTAGAAGCGACTAATTAATTATATAAATACAAAATTATATCAAGTATAATTCCCTCTGCCACTA